ACACACACACACACACACACACACACACACACACGCTCCGAGAGGAGCAACCAGAGAGAACCCCAAGTTCTCCTCGCAGCCCGATCCCCAGGAGTGGCTAGGCTCTGGCTGCACTCTGTTGGGCTGAGGGGCCTCCTAGCCAATCCCCAAGCATCCCAGTGCATCTCCCATCTCTCTGTGTGTCCTGGGTCGCACCACGGGGGACCCTGGAAAACGGTCTCTACTGCGCCCCAGAGCAGCGCCAACGGCCGGCGGACAGAAGCACCAGGACCTTGAGACCGGAGGAATCCAAACGGGGAGTCTCCACCACCTTGGGAGGACAGCAGTCTGCAGCCGGCTGCCCCACCCTCCAGTGGTGAGAATGCACGCTGCGGGCCCTCAGAGAAGGAACTCCCCTTCACAATTTGGGGGCGCTTTGCGCACACATCCCAGACTCCTAAGCACCCCTCACCTCCTCCCCGGCCCAGTCCAAACCACAAACCCAAACCTATGGCCACCAAGTCCATCCGGACTCAGAGCCTGGAAATCTTGATAGGAGCCGACAGCCTCGGCTCCCCACCCCCACCTGCGCCCCGCCCCCAGCGCTGCCACCCACAGGGTGGTTAGTGGTCCAAAGGCTTGCCTAACAGGGAGGGCCACCAGGACGCCTCTGGACTGTCCCTAATACTCTGTTCATGGGTTTCTCCAAAGTTCGTTTCCAATCCGAAGAGAACTCTGCATGATGGAGCATGGCTTGCTAAGTGAGTGACAGTCCTTCTCCCAGGGACTAAAGAAGCCCTGGTGTCACTGGAGGCTAGGCATTGGGCTGATAACCGTCAGATTTGGCAGGGGTGGGGTGTCCAAACCCACTAGCCACTAGGCTGTCTACTCTCCCAAAGATTTACAATCTCTGAAACCCTAGATAGGATCAGTATGACCTGGAATAGCAGCAGGGAGTTTTAGGTTTACCCCAGAGGCTGTTCCCTCAACCCCCCCCCACCTCCCACCCCCACCCCCAACACATACACCAAGGGGCCTTGGAGGCAGGATGATCTCCAGTAGACTCTAAGGGTATATGGGGAAGTGGAGAATGTTTAGGGTTTGCTACCTGCTGTTCACCTCCCACCACCACCCCGGGCCCCACCCCCCATGACCTCAAGGAGGGATGGAAAGCATTTGGGTGGTGGAGTTAGCAGAAGGGAGGGCACAGTCCTCTAGTGTCTGAAGGTGGGGTGGAGAATTGAGGCCCAGAGGGGCTCTGAGGTCCTGACCAGTCTATGAGCATTCAGAGACACAGGGTGAGCTGGTTTGACCTCAGCCAGCCAGTCTCCAATGTCCTTGGCTTCTTTTATTTTAATTTTCTCGATAAGTGAGGGAAAATTCAAATATACCATATATATACATATATACATATACATATATATATCATCCACCATGTTTGAAAATTGTACATTTTACCCTGTGTCCTCTGTCCCCTTTGTACTCCCATAAAGAGTTACAGTCTCGGAAATTCTGACCTATAGGGCTGCTATGAGTCGGCTTCCACTCCTGGGTTGTGAGTTATTTATTTGTTAATTACTGATTTTATTTTGAGCCAGGATTTTATTTTTTTTTAATTAAATCACTTTATTAGGGGCTTGTACAACTCTTATCACAATCCACACATCCATCCATTGTGTCAAGCACTTTTGTACATTTGTTTCCCTCATCATTCTCAAAACATTTGCTTTCTACTTGAGCCCCTGAATTACTGATTTTTTTTGACACCTGCTTAATGTTGGTCCTAAAGAGCCCTGGGGGCCTAGTGCATTACCAGTTACACTGCTAACCACAGTTCAAAACCACTAGCTGCTCCGAGGGAGAAAGGTGAGGATTTTGGCTCCCCTAAAGATTCACAAGCTCAGGAACCCACGCTGTCTTATAGGCTCACGATGAGTCAGAATCAACTGGATGGCACTGAGATCTTTGTTTTTATTCATTTTTTTCCCCTTGAGCTTTACTCTTCCCCTCCTGGCCCTGGCCTTGTGTGTGAGCTAGGGCTTGGAAGATGAGCGTAACCCCCTAGGTGTTTGAATCTAATCTTTTTCTGGACTCTGGCTGTTACTGATTCCCCACTGATTCTATGGTTGCCACCTGAGCCATTGATGGGGTCTAGAAGGGACAGGTGATAAAGGAGTCTCTGAGCAGGGAAGAAAGCAGGGTGACCCAGATATGCTGAGGGATAGTCATATACCAGGTGTGGGTGAGGAATGCCACACTTCCAGGGACCCAAACCAACCTCAGGGGTGAGGAGACTGAGCAGGTGCAGAGGGATGGTGCAGGAGATGGGGTGTTGGGTGTATATGGGTAAGTAAGAGAAGAGGTAAAAGAATAAAGCCTTAGTATTACCCAGTAGCTGGCACCAGGTCTGGCAGACACACAGAAATCATTGATAAAATATTTGGCAAAGGCTCCATTATGAGCCACACAAGGAGCCCTGGTGACTGACTCATTGGTTAAATACTTGCCTGCTAATGTAAAGGTTTTGCTCCACACGTTTCTCCTACTCTATCCAGGACCTTCTAAGAGGATTCTATTCAAAGTAGTTGGTAGGGTAGCAGGGCATCACTAGCTTCTGTAATCTCAGGGTCATAGAGATGATATTTAAGCCATTCATTATTCTGGACTAATTGTTTCCACGCATCTTTGATTTTCCTCGCTTTTCTCTTCTCCAGACAAAACCAAACCAAACTCGCTGCCATCAAGCCAATTCCAACTCATAGTGACCCTGTAGAACAGGGTAGAACTGCCCCTATGGGTTTCCTGATTGTGAATCTTTATGGGAGTAATCCTTAAAGCCTCACTTTCCCCCCTCGCGTGTTGCATCAAGTGGTTTCGAACTGCTGACCTCATGGTTAGCATCTCAACTTATAACCACTATGCCACCAGGGTCAAGGGGAGACCACCTTAGATGGCT